CAACCGGACATTGTGGTGGTGGATAAAGAACAGAGGAAAGCCGTTGTGGTGGATGTAGCAATACCAAGTGACCACAACATCAGGAAAAAGGAGAAACTGGAGAAATACCAGGGCCTCAGAGAGGAACTGGAGAAGGCCCACCCCCAAACTGGAGCAGTGGCTACAACAGATCCCAGGAACAACATCAGACATCTCAGTCCAGAAATGTGCAGTTCTAGGCACAGCCAAGATACTGGAGGAGAACCTGAAGCTCCCAGGCCTCTGGTAGAGGACCCGAGCTCAGAGGATGAAAGAGACCACCCCCGGAGTGTGAGAAGGGAATTATATATATATATATATATATATATATACAAAGTATGTAAACTCCCCGACCCCACTGAGGGACAAGGGTGTTCAGAAAATGGATGGATGGATGGATGAAGTATGTAAACTGTTTTGGATTATAGAGCAGTCAAACACTGTTGACTGTTGTCAAAATGTCTTCTCTAACCAATTAAAACAGATGAAAAGAAGATGATCAAAACAAAAACAAATGTTTCATGTTCTTCAAAAGGATGTTGAAATTTCTTCAGCAATGGGTCCAACAAAAATGTTTGATTTATAAAGACTGGAAACTAATTAACCTCAGTAATTAGCCTTTACAGTGTCTCAGACACGTAACGTAAGCTAATCAAGTGCAGGTCAGAGCTCACTGTGGGTCAGTTCTGTGGATCCAGTGTATTTTCACATGGCATAGTCCAAAACCACTAGAATTATATCAATGTTTCTGTGGCCTTTTGTTATAATGCCCAAGAAATGCCTGAGGGAGCAGAGTTTCTCCAGCAGTATGACAAATAGAGAAGTAGAGAGCTCCCACTATTCTTATAAAAGTAATTTTAGCTGTTTGGTAATATCTCCCGTTTCAAAACATTCATTTAAACTAAGGGAGCAACACCCAGCAGTCTTAAGGTAATGCTGTTTTTAAAAGTATCTCTAGACACTGGCTGCAGGCTGGTTACCTAAACAGATAGCCATACTAATTAACTGCTAATAAAAGCTACATAGGCTTGCAGTGTTAATGTGGTACCCCACAAGCATGTTTATTTAATGAGCTATTAAACTATTAAATTACAGAAAACAGTTTCATCATAAAGCTGCAAAGACAATCTGCTCCTTTAACGGATTCTGGTTCAGTATAAATCACCAGAAAAACCATCCAGGTTCTGCAAAAACCTGATCTTTTACAAATAAAGCTAGCTTCATGGAACAGAGGGAGGCATGGAGCGGATCGCTGGGTGGTTGTTTCTGAGAATTATGCAAAAAAGTCTAATATGTGAGTCTAAATAGAAAAAACTAATCAGTACTGCTTCTTGATAGCCCCATTATGGATGCGTCTTAGTGGGAACATGCTGCCATATGGCAGGTATGGAAGGTCCACTGGGAACACAAGCCCAAAGCCACAAAATGTAATGCATCAAACTTTCATTAAAGATGAATACCAAACTGATGGCGTTGATTGCAAATCTAAGTCTTAATCCATAACTTTTCCATCAAATGTTGAGATTTAGTTAAAGTACGGGAATGAGAGCAGCTGTTTTGGGAAATCTTCCACATAAAGGTTCAGTTTCTGTGAGCAAAAAGAAACAGGAGAGCACAAATGGATGTAAATAAGCTTTGGTTATAAACGCTGTGTGAATGTGAATGCTTTTTTTGTTTACTTTTTCAGACAAAATACAGATTAAAGAAGAAGAACTGAGCACTGGTTCATTATGTTTAGTTTATTCAGCTTCTTATCATTGGTGAACCGTCTAAATAGCTGTTGGTTTGCCTGCTACACTGATATTGGCAACAAAAATATTACAATATTGGTACATTATTGGTTGTGGAGAAATATTTCTTTTCCCCAAAGCAATCACTTGGAAACAGTTTAATGGTAAATAACTGATAGATTAAACTTCTTTCCACTGATGGGCCGGTGTAGAGGAAGAGCGGCCGCCTCATATTGAGGCTATTAGTCCTAGAAGCATCCGTCTGCTGCATGTCTTCCCCTGTTCTCTCTCTGCCCATTTCCTGTCTAATCTACTGCAAATAAAGGCCACTACTGCTAGAAAAAAACCTTTAAAAAACAACTTTCCAATGCTCTCAAATGATAGACCTATAATTTAGATTGAAGACAAAAAATTAAGAGATGCGCCAACCTTTAATTTATGTGAAATGTCTGACTCCATGCATTTAGCCCCATCCTCAATCACAAAAGTTACAAACAGGCTCAGACAAAGTGATGCTTTAAATTAACCTAATATCAGCTGAAAATGATCTGTCATGCAAAAAAAATTGAAATAACTTCATCACGCTAAGCGGAGCTCTCTTAATGTTCCACAGTGTCCTTATTTTCTACTTCACTAGAGGTTTATTACTCCTCATCCCTGCTGGAGTATTTAAAGGTCATACATTGATTAATAAACCTGTACTGGCTTGACTAAAGTGAAAAACTGTCTTCAGACGTTTGATGATTGCTCTGCCACTTCTCCTGTTTATATAGATATTTAACCTTTTGCTTTGCAAAAAACTCAAGTTTTACCAAAACTTTCAAATATTAGGAACAAACTGAAAACATGACAAAGCATAATTAAGTCTAAAGTTGATATAACAAAATAGTGGTACTGCAAAGTAAAACAAAGTTTATGTTGGAGTTGAGAAGTTTGCTTCAATAAATGCATAAAGCTGCAGCTGAAAGCACTGTTTATGATGAAGTACTCCAAATCTCGGGTGTGAGGCATGAAATGGTGCAGAAAGTGAAAAGACTAAAGCAACAAATGCTTGCTTTGAGCCATGCAGATCTTCTGACACTGCAGAAATAATTGGCACATTGTGAGGGGCAGATATTTATGGCAGTTTAGCAACAGCCTGTCAGAGATGGATGGGGCTCTGCCTGCTGGTGACAGCCTCGGTTAGAGAGACCTCAGAACGGCGAATACTCAAGTTTGGCTAAACAGCAAATCGCTTGGATACATTTTAGACAAAAACAATCCAGTGTTGTGCCTGTAAAGAACAAGGTTTGACCTCAAGGCTTCTTTCATATGAATTGATCTCCTGAACATCAAATGCAGCCCTTTTCATCGCTCTCCTTCCTGGTTAATATCTTATTCAGTCCTTTGACAGCTTGCAAAGTTCGTTATTCAGATCTCTTACTAACTGATGTCTTTGAATGAGCAGCCTAAGGCATGTCATTAACTGTGAATTCTTAGAAATAGATCATTACTCTCCAGGAAGTCAGGTTTCGGAAACATCTCAAAGTACAATTATGATGTGTCATTTGACTGCATTTTAAATCAGTGCTAATAGATCGGGGCCTTTCTGCTGCCTGTATATGCCCACCAGCATCTCAAAGTCTGCAGAATCAGAGTCCTTGATTCTGCTGCTTCAAGGCAAAAGCCATCCCTGTTAAGAATGTGCATCTCATCGGTGAGCCGAGGCTCAAGTAAGAACTTGTTAAAATGGAAAACCTCCTGAAAAATATCTGAAAGAACAGAAGAGCTGCAGCTTTGAAATGAACAGCGACAAAGTTTTTTGGATGTCTGCGTTTCTGAGCTTGAAGAATATAAAACTTTCCTTTAGGATTTGTTTTCAGCCCTGCCTGCAGGCAAAATGCTGAAGCAGGAGTGGCTCCGTAAATGAGGGAAGACTAAATCAATGACGTTAAAGAGCCTTTTTGGCCACAATGTGTAATCTGCCATATGGAGCTGATCTGTATTCACTCTCTTGATGTTCTTGAGTGTTTGAGTTTAAATGAGGATTCTGACTTAGTGATTTATGTCTTAAGTAGAGTTTGCAAATGTTCAAAAGCTCTTGATTAAACTAGTGCCAACTTGTTGAGGCAGAAAGCATATAGTTTACTAAATTTGACATGGTGCAGACATGCATATGGATTTACTGTATGGGTGACATACAGGTTTAAGATTGGATTTAAGCTACGTTCACACTGCAAGCTTTAATGCTCACTTTTAGAATTTTTTTTTAAATGAGATTTTTTTTGTGTATGTGGTTGTTCACATTTCCTAATATATGTGACTTGTATATGATCTCTTTTGTGAACTAAAAACAACCTAAAAGTGTTCTGCATACGCAGTAGAGGACACAATGTCGCGAAAATGGTCAGTTTTTGCGAAAGTATGACCTGAATAGAACAATCACCCAAAATATTAATTAAATCAGAAACCTTGCTTTCCCTCCATTGATTGCTCTCTGCATTATCATCTGCCTGGATTGTTGTTTTTCTTCCCACAGAAAACAGAATAGTGACATTTGTTGATTATAAAGGACATTATAAAGGACGTACAGGTCAGATGAACGTGACTTGGCTGTACAGAAGATCAGGTATAGATCTGTATTGTTCAAGTTGCCATGAAAAGTCCACATACAGGTCGCATAGTGGCAAAAAAAAATCTGAAGTGGGTCACTTCAGGCTGCCTTAAAGGCATAGTTCAGGATTTCTGCAGTTGTGTTCTGTTACAGGTTTATAAGTAACATAACCTGTACTTATAAACAGTACAGGTACAGGTGCACTGATCCTGCACCTGATGGTGCAGCATCTGTTCACTAATTTACTACACAAATAATCGCTGATTTATTTGCATATGATTAATAAATAGTTCATAAAAAAGTTTATATGAACTGCTGTAACATTTTTGAGTTTGGACTTCTAAGACAATGCAGTCTGCTTTGGTTTTGATCCTTCTTAGCCTAGCTGGTAGCTTCACCCTCCAGGACCAAATAATCTGGATTTTTCTCACTAACGTCAAAAGACATTTCTACTTCAGGTAAATCTTATAACCTCCTTTTAAAATGTTCCCTCTAAGCACTACTTTAATATAGTTTAGCTGCCAAGCAGATGCCAACCAGGAAGGAACTAACTACGCAGTGACTCAGTGTCCTGAATTAATTATGCTTCTCGGCCTTAACAACACACTTAGTCCTGTATTGCAAGGTAAAGCCTTCCAGGTAAAATTTATTTTTTGTACATATTCCTCTGATACTTTAAGTTGCATTGTTATGCAACATTCTAAATGCATTTGTATCTGATGCTCAACCTTTTCAGCCAAACCAGCAAAAGAGTTTAAAAAAAAGGTAAAAATAATTTTTATTTTGAGAAAAAAATGGCAGGATCAATATTTAATATATTTAAGCAAGTTTTTCCTGGTCCTGCTGCATCATTAATAGTAGAGCTGATTTCTCCACATAATCAAACTAGACAGATTTTGTTTAGATTGAGTTACTAAGGTGGTCTGAATTATGTTTGTGGTATTTGTGAATACCACAGAAAATCTGTGAGAAATTATCCCTTTTTTCAGATAAAACAAAATAGTTCTACAGTCAGAAAATTGCACATTTTAAAACATCCTGGATTACTTTATTATCTCTTTCTGTGTGCTTAGACTTTCTTGCAATCTTCTGAAGCCCAATTTTTACTTAGCTTTTTAGTTACTTTTTTCACAAATTTTGAAAAAAAAAAAAAAAAAAAAAATTAATCTGTGGGTGCAGATTAGCTAGGTAAAAAATGCAACTTTGATAATATTTGTAACAAAAAAATGTGGTGGCAGGAGCTAAAACCTGAGACTCTGACCAACCTTGTTAGTGGCGATACAAAAACTCTAAGGTCCTCCTTCTCTATGAATGCCTTACCTTAGTGACGCACCCTCATGTCACCGTTTAACCACAAACGCTCCCTCTTGTCCAGATTACCTTGAACGACTTTGTTGGACTTTAGATTTAGTCCAAGCAGGCTCTCATTCCTACAGGGAGCCATGTTTCATACCATTATGTTTCCACAACCTTGCTTGTGATTACTGTCCTTTCAACCTCAATTTTGTGTTTATTGTGGAAAAGCAAACTGTAATGCAAACTGTGAAGTGCATAAAAGATTGGGTTATTGTGATAAATCAGAATTACTTCAGCTAGAACAAACTTTTTACTGTGATAATTCACAATATCGACAGTTTGCAAAGACTTCATTTTCCGGCTCTGATCCAATGTTGGCTAAAAGGCACCGGTAGAACCCTCCCTGTGACTGGCTGTGATACATTTAGTTTTCTGATAGCTTAAAGGTTTTCACCAAGTTGCGGTTAAACCTCTGGCAATGACCTATTAGCACAGGAAACATGAAGCTGGTTCACTCTCCCTCCTGAGGAAACCTTTAGTTACATGAGCCACTAAAAACCAGAGACCTGGCCCCCTTGCAGGTCCTTTGGTCCTGATAGGTGTTTTTGCACTGAGGTTAATAACTTCACCTGTCGATGGCCCTCAACTTCAGAGTCCATTTCAACGCAATTTAGGGGAGCTACTCTTTATGTTGCTGCAGATTAAACACTCTGGTTCCTGTTTCCCAAGTCCTTACAGGTCTTTAAGATAAATGATTTCACCATCATTAATCTTAAATAATGGTGAAAATGTTATCTTCAGCATCTTTCTGCACTCTTGCAAAAGATGTTATGAGTACAAAAATCTCAAAATAACTTAACAGTACTAATGTCTTATGTGCTGAAACACTTTTTACAGCAACCATACAACAAACTCAGCACAAGAACAAACAGCGAGAAAAGAGTAAGAAAGACACTGAAATTATTTTATCTGAATATTATACTAAATTATAAACCTAAAATCCTTGATAATGCTTTTCTGGATTAATTTGAGTTTGAGTTAAAAACCCGTGGGTTTTTATCTCTATCTCTATGAATACTGCCTAATAAAACACTTTTGGCAAATGAACCTTAAACTAGAAAACTAATTTTCTATTGGATTTGATATCTTTAGATCTAATCTGTTAAGTAAATACTATAAATTTATAATTATTTGATGCTGTTGAAATGAAACCCTTCCTGAACTTAAATAAACTGAAAAAAGCAAGGTCCAGCATCGGACTGAGAAGTGTTAGGCGACCGTTGTGATTGCTTTCCTTATCTAACCCCAGCTGAAGATCTGAACAGACGCTGCAGTGACTGCTGCTGTCAGGGAAGTCCCACCCACACTCACTGCAGTTTTACAGCCAGGGAGCCAAACACTGACCGCTCTGACAGGGAAGAGCTCTCAAGTTGAAAGTTGGTGCCAAGATTTAAGCACTAGTGAGAGTCAGAGTGTTGCTAAAGATAAAGGTCAGTGAGAAGCCATCAGCCAGACTCTGATGAAAGTGAGATAATAAGGCGAGGTTAAAGGATCTTCAGGAATGAGAGAGCAGAACAAGTGCAATCTATAATAAAGATCACAGCTGACTCTTTTGCCAAGATGGAGTTAAACTTACAGTAATTATATTTTTATTGCTTTAAAGTAGACACAGAGATTAAAAACTGCTTGTTTGGTCATGTTATCTGAACCAAGAACATTGAGTTCTGTCGCTGCTTTTAACATGTATTTTTGAAAACATTTATATTACTGGAACACATTGCTTTTCTGGACTGGAACACATTTTTTCTGTGTTTTTGATGGCTAGTGAGGTTAAAATCCTAGGCAGCATGTGTTCCTGTTTATATATTAATCTTAATTGCTGCTGCTGAGTGGGATGGCATTAGGAAAAAAGGGGGCGGCTTGCTTTTTATTTTATGTTTTTACTCAGAGACATTTTAATTTATTCAAACTCTTGGAAGAAACTAATTATTTTAAATGTGTGATGGCTAAGACAACTGATTTTGTTTGTATGGAAACTCACAAAAACATTTTCATTTAAAATAGTTCAATGAACACACTATCTCTAAATTATGTGAATAATTCTTGTGAAAATAGTGACAGATTGCAGTCACTGTTGGCAGAAGGTCTCAATAAATAGACTTTAAAACACTCATGGCAAAAAAAAAAAAAAAACATTATTAAATTATTCCAAGCTCATTATTCAAAAGCAACTATTATAAATCCATGTAAATTTAAATTATCCCCATAATAACAGAAGATATTAACTTTAAATAATCGGATAAGAAAAGCTTTCAGGTACATCCAGAAGCAGTGTTGACTGATTACTTTTGATCTATAAACAAAATTCCTCTGCTGTCCGTGGAACCACAGTTCATCAGCAGCTGGTCGTCTTTCTACAAAATATAACTCACTGACTCTGGCATGAGAAGCCCAAAGAAAGGTCTGGCCATCTGCTTTCGCTTAATAAATACCAAGATAATGCAAATGACTCGAAATGGTCAAATCCTCAACCTGCGACCAGCTCCCACACTTAATGAGCTATGTGTTTGTTTTAGTGAAAGGAGCAGCTGGATCCATCCATAACGGCTGACTGGAGGACTTTAGTTGCAGTCTTATCAGCCATTTCTTTTTCCAGTTATAACAAATAAATGCATAGCTGTTTCAGAAGAGGAATACAGTTATTTACATATTTTTGGAAGACTGAATGTCACTGGAATGGGTGGACAAACAGGAGCTCTTTACAGTATTCACATCCCTGAACTGTTACAACAACAGAATAAACAGACAGGCAAGGCACTGCCTCCACAAGAAAATGATAAAAAGTCAGTTAGATCACTTAACGGCACCATTATTCTCTATTTCTCTGTTAAATACAGTGTCTCCACACTCCATACATAAACCATGTAGGATGTCATCTCTGTTGTAAGGAATCAGCTTATTGCTGCATCGCCGGAGTCCGAAAGTTTAATACTTTTCAGACCATTAGGAAGTTGGACAGAATACATTAATATTAGTGTAAAAAATTAGTGCTGAGCTACATCAGAGTTGGCATCAGTTTCCAACATTTTTTTACCTTTAATAAGCTCAAGTCTCTTTGATATGCAGGACTTTGACGCAAAATGAGTGAACAGATGTCCAAAAAGAGAACCCACCTGAGGTTAAAATTAAGGGTGGAAAACAAGAAGAAATAATTTGGCAGAGTAACTGTCTGGAAAATTATGACACCAGCTGTTTCACAAATCTAATCTAGGTGACAAAAAGGGAAAAGCAGCTTTGCAGAATGATTTAAGTAACAGGGTTACGACAGATTGGAAAGGAACAGCAGGGCTGAAAACACACCGTTAGCCGAGGATCGACGGTCGTTTGAAGTTTTCAGGACTTGAATGCTGATTTTGTGTGAGATTTTAGAACTGATATTTTGCAAATGTTTCAGATATATTTATTAAGATAAAAGCAAATTTAATAGTTCAATTTCCATTCTTAATGTAGTTAAGAGCTACATTTATAAACTAAATTCTTCACCAGTTTTAAATGGCACATCACATATATGATGTATTCCAGTTAAATCACAAAAATCATTAAACTTTATTACCCACAGTCAGGAATAAAACCATCCGGCTGCTGTGAATATCACTGCAAGTCACAGACCAACCTCACCTGACTTCTTCTGGAAAGAGCTTAGACCAGAAATAATTTAATTCACATTTGGTTAATAGAAATTAAAAATGTGTTTTTTCTCTTCAAGCTTATGAGATGCAGTCACAGCAGCAATGCATGTACATATTAACCTAATTAACTTGTTGACTAATTAGTTGCCATTTTTGATGCATTTGAATTACATTTTAATTGACTGGAAGCACACGTCATATTTTTTAAAAAGTAACTACTAATAAATATATTTTCTGCAACAAAAGGGGTTAAGAGGTAAAAGGAAAGCTGAAGTTTAGAAAACAAAGCACACACTACAATGAGGAGCATGTGAATAGCAGTCTGACTTGAAGCACTGTTTGAATATAAATCAGTTTTAAAAAATTATATAAAAAGACTGTTACAAAAGTACATGGATGTCAGAGTTTTAAGTATTCATTGGGGAGCTGCTGGCATACTGCTGAAGGATGTAGTGACAGCACTTAAACATGTCTGGACAACTTGGTTATATTAAATGGATTACATAGAACAGGAAAAGATTTTGTTTTTCGTTGTTTTGAATGTCACTGTATGGTTATCTTATATAGACTGCATAAAAATAAATTAATTGTGCAGATATAATTTTTAATATGAAGGGTTTTTTATTTTCATTTTTTTCTGACATTTTATTTATTTTTTGACACGTTTTGAAATAAAAAGTAATAATTTCAAATTATATTTTATACACAAAAACAGCTTTTAAGTGAAATGTCAGATTTTATATAATGTGGGATCACAGATGAGCAGCATGTTAGCGGTGAAGGGCTGCAGGCGGTGCAGACTGACAGCCCACATTAGCCGCAGGCTTACATTGACAGCCAATTCCGGGAAAACCGATCGTCAGCTCTCATTTGCTCTCCTAACTACTTTCTGAATGTGGAGGGCGATGTCACAGGAAAACTAGAATGGGTCATACATTCAGTCTGTCAGATATTGAGGACAGATCACAACATGTGTACAAAAGTCTGTTTATTCTTTCCTTTTAAAGCAGCAGTACAAACCTTGCCTGTCCTTCCCTTGACATCTCTTTGAAGTCCTGTCTTGTGGGGTTACTCTCTCCAAAAAAAGGGTCTACCATATCTAACTCCGAGCATCATTTTAGCCTTCGGTAGATCTTCAAAAGCTTCAAAGCGCAGGGGGGCAACTTGTGACCTCGTCGAGGATGATCCTCTGATGTGTGACAGGCAGGGCAGAGGAAGCTCCACTCTGCAGGGATCACATCTAAACACATTTGGTTTGGCACAGGTCTGGGACGGTGAACACGTGATGTGTGACCTGACTGCAGAGTTGCAACGCTTGTACCAACTGGGAGCCATAATTACCCACAGAAAAAATACAACACGCTAACGACTGGATGTGGATGAATGCCCCGAAGACAAATTCTGACATTTTTAAGAAGGTCAGAGTTAATTACTGTTCGCGATTCTTCTCATGAGGAAAGAACAAGGGGAGATTGTTTGTTGAGAAATGCTTGCAGATATAAATAAGGTTACTTGTGTCACAAACCTGATGTTAGAAAAATTTGATGGTAACATAGTGCCTTAGTAAATAAAGATGATTTGCTGTTTCTTATCAAAGTGTTTGGGTTAATATTTTATTTTTAAGACAGACTTAGATAAATAAAAAATCTGCCTTGAGATTCATGCATCAAACAGCTTAAAGGCTATTTTTATTTTTCTGCAATAAATCAAGTAATTTTTCAATTTATACGAGTAATTCAAAAAACCTTAACAAAACACCTCTGGTTCTGATGCCCTGTTGTATATAACACACGGAGTGTTTAGTTGGTTGTTAAATGAATTTGTGGGAACACAGAAAACAGGATGGAGAGCTCTGCTACCAGGATTGGAAGTTAACAGCTGAACAGGCCTGATTTCTCCTCACCCACCAAAAAGCTGTCTCTGCTGGAAACACGCTTTGCCCAAAGATTTGGAAACCATCGGACTCATTCAAGGGAACAGTCAGCAGAAAACCTCAAGGGGGACAAAACCTGGACCATGCCATGTTTACAACCTGTAGCTTGACCAAGTGGTAAACAGCCAGAGTGGAAGCCACGGCTAACCTGACCAAACAAACCTCAGGAAACAACAGCAGTTGCTCCGTTCAATAATCCCGTCACCCACTTCCAACATCCATCTTGGAGCCTCAATGTGATTACATGATGTAGTTAAAAAGGGTCAATATTAGTATATATTTATATTCTCTTCCATTCACCACATAAAGATAATAGAATATTTCAGGTCCAAACGACATGCTGTGGGAACGCTAGCTGCAGATGGACTGAGTGACGTAACAGATGGTGTTTTTGGAATAGCTTCACAGCTACTTTATTTCAGAGCAGTCAAATCCTCACAAATATAGACAAAGTGACCAATTTGAGAAAACTAACATGTGCAAAACCACTGCATGGTTTGATGAGATGAGGTTGTTGGTCAGCACTGGAGCAGAAATTACAATATCTGCTGAATGTTGCTAAAATTACAGTCAGAATTTGCTCTCAAGTTTTAAATCAATCAACAGGTGCTGGTTTGAATTTAAGCTGCTGATGCTTCATTCAACTTCCTTCTCCTCACTGAATACAGACACACTTTTTGCACACCTGTTGTTTACATATATTCCTAGTTTCTGGAAATAAAATTAGTACAAATATCAAAAGCTACAATCCAAAACAAAACTGAAATGTAAACGTAACAAAGTGGGCAGGTACTCTTTAAAACAAAGACAGAATAATTGTTCCTAAAATGACAAACTGGAGGACATCACTCTGGAAGGCGATGTCTTTGCATCACAAGAAATAAAATGATGAAAACAGATAAAAATAAATGTTAAGAGCTTTAGCTTTACTCCACTATACGCCCTTAAAAAAGAGAAAAAAACTTCATGATTAATACATACAGGTTTTGCGTGCCGAGTCCTCCACAAACAGTGAAGAGATGTCCTCGTCCACGCCGGCCTCATTCTTGGCGATGCAGGTATATGCCCCCGTATCTTCAAAGTGCACGTTGCTGATATGCACCTCGCTTCCATTAGCTTTGAGGAAGAGCAGAGAGGAGACACAAAAACGGGCAATGTGTTTGCTTTCCAGAAAGACATAAAAGGAGACCCCCATCTTCCAATCTTTTGGTGCCATTACATAACAGACGGATGGTGTTTGTTTCAGGGAGAATTCACAAAGGCAGGAGTTCAAAGTAGGGAAGTTCATAACAGGATCATCTGCCGATTTAAAGTTTCTGAACCTTAAGGATCTTCAAACAATCTTTCTAATTTAAGTTGGGTTTATTAGCAAGCCTGACAAAACGTTAGAAGGTGGTGGTTAAAAAAGATGTTTGTGAATCATTGAGGTCACACTAAGCCCAAGAGCTTCAGAAGAAAGCCAGACTTTGTTCTAAAATATGAATACACAGCAAATGAATCACAATGAAAATAGCATAAATAATGAGTTACTCTGCAAAGTTTTGTTTTATTCATGCATACTGTGCTATTAGCCACAGAAAATGTTATGTGTTTCCCCAAACAGGAATATTTTTTCATCTGTGGCTAGCTTATTTAATTTCCAGTATGATTCATACAGTCCTGCTCAACATCTCTAACCATATTAACTGCTGTTTTAGACTAAAATCGCATGTCTACATGACAAATAAATTACTTGTAGGTGTAATAGAGTAGTAGAAAGCAAATACCTAATTAAATACCCAATAGTAGTAGTATGCATGCTCTGGACTCTGTAACTGAATGATTCATAGAAATAAGTGTGTCTAAAATGTGTGTGAAAATCAAACTGCATGGTCATCCATTAAATAAAACATGAGTCAAACAGGTAGCCCTTTTTGACAGATAAAAACAAATGTTACACATGGTGATGATGATACTTTCGTCTCTGAAAATCTGAGTAAAATTAGATGTTCCAGACATTATTCAGCAGAAAACCCTTCAGCAAACTATTATGAAATTGGAAACTCAATGTGACTCAGATCAGTGCTTCAGAATAAAAGCTCACTATGAAAAAAAAGCTACTTAATAATCTTTTTAGCTACACTTGTCACAATAGCCAACAGTCATTTTGAAATTTTATGGACAAAATGAATTGAATTTTTCTGTGTATTCAATTAATTTGAAGGGTTGATAATTATGTTACTATTTCATTGTAATGAATTTAACCAATTGAAATATATAACAAATAACTAAAACAAATTATTGGGGATCCAATATGAGCAACACACGTCTACCGTAAAGGCCAAAACTTTACATACATGGACTGAAGACACATATTTGTTTTTTCCCTGTTTGTCTGAAGTTTAACTGACCTGAAACAAGATGAGTTTGGTCTGATGTAACGTCAGAGAGTGATAAAAAAAAAAACAAGGTTTGGCTTTACTTGGTGTATGTAAACTTCTGGTTTCAACTGTGTTCCTGGGTCTATATGTGTATAGGCTTTTATTTATTCCACCAGCCCATCGCTGAACCAGTAATCACATTTTCAGAGTTTAAATTGTCATCCTCAGGAAATGCTATGGTACAAGAAACTAATAAATACTTGGAGTAGATCATAAATCAGGACTTCTGTTCACCTTGCAGGGTGAGCTGTTTGGACAGCTTGGTCTTTATGTCCATGCCATTCTTGAGCCAGGAGAGTTGTGGGCTGGGGATGCCCTCAGCGTGACACCGCAGGCTGGCGGTAACTCCTGGCTCCCGGGCTTGGCTATCTGGGTAAACTCTGATGACTGGAGGGACTGGAAGGTGGCAGGAAAACAGATAAGAGCTGGATCAACACAAACACTGCTTTGTTCCACACTGCTGTTTACATTACTATCATCATTTAAGAAGTTACTAACCCTTATCAAACAAGATGGTTTAGATAAGAAGCCAAGTAAACTTCTGACTCCACATTAGCATACACTATCAGTAGGTTTGAGTGCATTTGCAGCATTGCTGAACATGTTTAGATAAGGTTAATGTGCTTCATGAAACCAAACACATCAGATAGATAAATAAGGGAGCCAACTGTTGCTCTGATGCTATTGATTTTGCTTGGTTACTATTGATTTTCTGTAACCTTTTGTCAAGCGAGATGAGAGGATAGAGGCAGTGAAAACAAAATGAGAGAAAAGAGAAAAGGCAGAAACTAAATGAGCATCTGGTGTTACACGTTTCAGACTGCCCGTCAGGTTCATGCCAGAGTTTCAAGGGTTTAGTATCCCCCAAAGCAAAACAAACAGATATAACCACTCCTTCA